AAAATGCTCTGCTGGGTGGAGCTATTGTAGTACACATTTTCCCCGCTAGGTGAGCATCAAGCAACTAGCTCTGAGTTAGTGTACCCAGTGGTGTCACCTGGGAAGGTTCTCTCTGGTTGAAGTGAATTTTTTCCTAAAGCAGTTTCTCTTGAACCCCGTTTTTTTGTAATGGCCAATTTAAGAGAACAGTGTGTGGCTATGAAATTTTGTTTCCTGCTTGGGAAAAATGCCACAGAAACTGTGATGTTGAACACATCTTATAAGGACAGTGCTATGGGAAAAACTCAAGTATATGAGTGGTTTTCTCTTTTCAAAATTGGTGAAATGCAAACTGATTGACAAACCTTGTTCTGGACATCTGTCAACTTCCCAAACGAACAAAAATGTCAACAAAATGTGTGCACTTCTGCTCGAAGACTGACAATGGGCCATTGAAGAAATGGGGAAGTTATCTGGACTATCTTGGAGCTTGGTTCGGCAAATTTTAACAGAAGATTTGGAAATGAGAAGGGTCACTGTGAAATTTGTGCCTTGGGTTCTGACTGACCAGGAAAAAGAGCATCTAGTAGAAACATGCCGTGCTCTGAAAGAACAACTCTGAAGCAACCCAGACTTTTTTTCCAAGGTCATTACTGGCGATGAGACACGGTGCTATTCTTATGACCCCCAAAAGCAAACATTAATCAAGCCAGTGGGAGATGCAAGCATCACCTCGCCCAAAAAAATGCTCATCAAATGAAATCAAAGATCAAGACAATGCTCAATGGTTTTACTGATGTGAGGGGGATAGTACATTTGCAGTTCATTCCACCAGTCAGACTGTTAATCAAACTTTCCATCTAGATTGCATAATACGCAAAAAAAAGGCCTGATTTGTGGCATACGGGGGACTGGTTTTGCCACCACGACAATGTACCTGCTCACGCAGGCATCTCAGTGCACCAGTTTTTGGGCAAAAAACAGCATGCACCTGACCCACCTGACCTCGTTCTATGCAACTTCTTTTTGTTTCAGCAAATGGAGAGGGACATGAAAGGAGAGTGACTGATTACACAGAAGAGGTGAAGAAAAAAAACGAAGGAGGTGCTGTTAGCCATCCAAACAGATGAATTTGAAAAATGTTTCCAAGAATGGAAACACAGACTTGACAAATGTATTAAATGTAATAGAGAGTACTTTGAAGGTGAAAAGGTTGCTTTGTAAAAAAATTTAAATACATAGCTTTTTTTGCAGGGGGATTTCATTTTTGGGCTTTGGGGGGATGCCCTTGTAGTAGAATGGAATTTAAATTGAGGCAAGTCACACCATCATAAACTTATTGTCTTTTTCCAGGCATAGAGACGTCCTCTTTGGAAAAATGCCCCAAATGAGCCAACAGAAATAAAACAACTTGAGAGAGAAAAGGAAGCAAATTGATATCAGTTTTTAGCACAATACTTGAAATCCATCAGTGGATAGTTAGAATAATAAATAGACTTGAAATCATGTCATAAAATGAATGATGGTGGGAAAAAATAGATTAAGAAAGAGAAAAACCTAGGTTCTATTTCTTTATACACTATTGACCTCCTTCACATTACTGCTCTAAGCCTCCATGTACAACAACCCATCTAACAGTATAGTTTGCA